TATAGCCTCTTTCATATCTGATTTTATTTTTTGGATCCTCTCTCTTTGTTTCTTGATGAGTCTGGCTAGGGGTTCATCAGTTTTGTTTATTTTTTCCCCCAAAGAATCAGCTCTTAGAATTATTGGTCTTTTGTACTGTTTTTGTTTTTTGGTGTTTTTTTTGTGGTGTTTTTTTTTGGGGGGGGCGGGGGGGGGTTTCATCTCATCTCTATGTCATTTATCTCCACTCTGATCTTTATTATTTCCTTTCTTCTACTTCCTCTGGGCTTTTTTTGCTGTTCTCTTTATAATTCATTTAGTTGTAAAGTTAGTTTATTAGTCCTTTTTCTTATTTCTTGAGGTAGGCCCGTAGTGCTATGAACTTCCCTCTCAGGACTGCTTTTGCTATGCCCCATAGGTTTTGGGTGGTGTGTGTTCATTTTCATTTGTTTCCAGGAAGTTTTTAATTTCTTGATGGATCTCATTGGTAAGATACTCATTGTTTAATAACATGCTATTTAGCTTCTATGTGGGTGTTTTTGAGAGTTTTTTTTCTGTCATTGATTTCTAACTTCATGCCATTGTGATCCGAGAAGATGCTTAATATTATGTCAATCTTCTTTAATTTGTATAGACTTGTTTTGTGCCCTAATATGCGATCTATCTTTGGGAATGTTCCATGTGCACTTGAGAAGAATGTATATTCTGTTGTTTGGTGTGAAATGTTCTGTAAATATCAGTTAGATCCATCTGATCTAGAATGTCACTTTAAGGTTTCTGATTCCTATCCAGTAATGTCAGGGGGAGGGGTTAAAGTCCCCCACTATAACTGTATCGCTGTTAATCTCTCCCTTAAAGTCCATCAAGAGTTTTTTAATGTACTTGGGTGCTCCTATATTGGGTGCATATATGTTTATAAGTGTTATATTTTCCTGCTGAATCATTCCCTTTAGTATTATGAAGTGGCCTTCTTTGTTATGGCCTTTTTTAAAAAATATATATTTTATTGATTTTTTACACAGAGGAAGAGAGCTAGAAACATCGATGAGAGAGAAACATCACCAGCTGCCTCTTACACACCCCCTACCAGGGATGTGCCCGCAACCAATGTACATGCCCCTGACCGGAATCTAACCTGGGACCTTTCGGTCCGCAGACTGATGCTCTACCACTGAGCCAAACTGGTTTCAGCTGTTATGGCCTTTTTTTGAAGTCTATTTTGTTTGATATGAATATTGCTACTTCATTTTTTCCCCCTTTTCATTTCCATGTATTATACTTTTCCATTTCTTCACTCTCAGTCTATGTATATCTTTTGTTCCGAGGAATGTCTCTTATAGACGGCATATATATATATATATATATATATATATATATATATATATATATATATAGTTTTCTTATCCATTCAGTCTTTGGAGCATTTAATCCATTTATATTTAAGGTTATTATTGATAGGTATTTACTTATTGCTATCTTTCTTTATGCCTATGATCCTTTCTCTCACTTTCTTCTTCTGAAAGCAGTCCCCTTAACATTTCTTGCATTGCTGGTTTGGTGGTAATGTACTTCTTTAACCTTTTGTCTGAAAAGCTTTTTATTTCCCCCTTCAATTTTAAATGATAGCTTCGCTGAATACAGTAGTCTTGAATTTATGCTCCTGTTTTTCATTACTTTGAGTATTTCATGCCACTCCCTTCTGGCCTGAAGTGTTTCTCTTGAGAACTCATTTGACATTCTAATGGGAACTCTTTTGTAGCAAATTTTCTGTCTCTGTCTTGCTGCCTTTAAAATTATTTGTCTTTAACATTTGCCATTTTAATTATAATGTGTCCAGATGTGAGTCTCTTTGGGGTCCTCTTGATTGGGATTCTCTGTGCTTCCTGAATGTGTGTGATATTTTCCTTCACCAGATTGGAGAAGTTTCCTGTCATTATTTCTTTAAACAGGTCCTCTGTTCCTTCCCCTTCTGGTATTCCTATAATGCAGATGTTATGTTTCATGTTGTCCCAGAACTCCCATAAGCTATCTTCCTGCTTTTTAATTTTTTCTATTTGTTGCTCTAATTTGGTATTTATTTCTATCTTGTCTTCCAAATCACTTGCTGGAAGCTGATTCTAGCAGGTCATAAATACAAAAAGTTCATTAAAAGGTTGATGAACCTTAAGGCTTCAACAGGGCTGAGTCATATTACCTGCTGCTGAAATAGCTGGAAGCATTTCCCTAAACCTAAAAATCTGCATATATTATTGCTTGCTGCCAGACAGCTGAGGGCAGGTCCCCCAACCTGACCGAACCTTACCTTTGATATATTCATATCTGCTTTGCTATAGGGAAAATCTAACTAATAAAAGGGTAATATGCTAATTAGACTGGGAGACCAGACATCTTCCTACTGTCTGACTTCCTTCTAGACAAAGCCACAGTGTGGGGGCTGAGACAGAGTTGGTTAGGGGTGATCAGGACAGCAAGGGAAGGCAGTTGGGGGCCATGAGACCAGGCAGGAAGGGCAGTTGGGGGCTACCAGACTGGCCAGGGAGTGGTTAGGCAGCAATCAAGCCAGTAAGCAGTTAAGTGGTTAGCAGCTAGTGGTCCTGGCTTGCAAGAGGGATGTCTGACTGCCAGTTTAGGCCTCACCCCTGGGCCTAAATGGGCAATCCGACATCCCTCGAGGGGTCCCAGATTGAAGAGGCTGGGCTGAGGGTCCCCCTCCCATGCACAATTTTGTGCACCAAGCCTCTAGTAGGGGTGTCGAACTCAATCAGAGAAGGGGCCAAAATCTAAAATCCAGCCTAAATCGCGGGCCGAATGGTTTACTGAACAGTCATAAACTGTCATTGTGATGGAAACGCAGCAGAGTGCAGTGATGACAGCGCGGTGCGGGCCACATTGCAAGGCCTGGCGGGACGGATTTGGCCCGCGGGCCTTGTGTTTTACACATGTGCTCTAGTGTGTCATTAAAAAGCCCTGGGTTTGGAGACTCAGGAAACTCAGCTAAGCCTTCCATGGCTCCCCTGAAAAATGCCTTCCAAATTTATTTTTCATGTCTAGTCTCTTTATTATTTTACTCACAGCCCCTTCTCTAGATTCCTGAACCCTTCTAGATTAGGATAACACCCTGGCAATCACTGATTCGGTCCTTTGCTTCATTTAACCTACTTTTAATATCTTTCAGTTGTTCTTCATGTCAGATATATTATTTTTTATTTCTGTCTGTTTTTTCTTAATGACCTCTACTTCCTTTTTCATGCTCTTATAATTTGTGCTAAGTTCCTTATGCATCTTTATAATCATTGCTTTGAACTCTATGTCTGATAGGTTGCTTGCCTCCATCTCATTTAGTTCTTTTTCTGGAGATTCTTTCTTTTCTCTCATTTGTGGGTTCTTTGTCTCCCATGTTGGCTGCCTCTTTGTGTTTGTTTCTATGTATTGGGTCAATCTGCTATGACTCACACACTGCCTGTGGCTTGCCCTGGTTAACCTGTTTGGAGCTCCCAGCAATCCACAGTTTATAGCTGCCTCTGCTGAGCCTGGGTGCACTCAGGAAGGAGTAAGCAGCTCACCAGGCCAGCTTTCAACAGCACAGGGCCCAGGAGCAGGTCAGCAATAGTACCACAGCACCCCGAGATCTGCCTCTACCTGGGTCCATCTGCCACTGCTTGTTAGGCTCAGTCACTGGAAGACCCTCTGGCTGTACTCCTCAGCGGGGCTTAGCTCCACAGGGTGAAGTGAAAAGGAGAGTGGAGCTACTGCTTTCCCCAGGGTAATGCCACACAAAGGGGAGTGCTCCACCTAAGAAAGATGATGACTGCAGTATTGGAGAATGACTCAGCAGAGGGATCCTGCTGGGTGGCCTTTAAGATCTCTCTCTTAAGAGCCACAAACCGCAGACTCTCCTCATGGGATTCTAGTCTGCTCTCCTCCCTCCACTGGAGCCCAGGGTAAGTGACTGTGATAAAAAATTTTGTGCTTTGGCCTTTTAAGACAGTGCTGTGTCTCTAGCCATCTTTCTCCGGAGGACAGAACCCCATTGCTTTTCAAAGCCAAGATGTTATGTGGGTAACTCTTCCAGCTTTGGTACTCTGGACAGGAGAGCTTGTCTTGGGGTTTATTTTTGTTTTGTAGGGGTTTTTTTTTTGTTTTTTGTTTTTTGTTTGTTTTGTTTTGTTTTGTTTTAAACAATTGCTTCAGATTTTCTCTCTTTTTAAAAAAATGTTTTATTGATTTTTAGAGAGAAAGGAAAGGAGAGGGCAAGAGAGAGAGAAATACCAATGAGAGAGAAACATCAAAATTGACCAGCTGCCTCCTGCAAGCCCCCTGCTGGGGATCAAGCCCGAAACCCAGGCATATACCCTGACTGGGGATGGAACTGGTGACTTCTTGGTGCCTTGGGGTTTAGACCCCACACTTCTCAGGGGGAACCTTAGCAGATATCCTTCCGGAACCTTAGCCACAGCCTTTGGGAGCGGGGTCTGCCCTTTTCACATCTCTGCCCTTCCTACCAGTCTCAATATGGTTCCTTCATTAAGTCCTTGGTTATAAGATTTCTCTTCAAGTAGTCTTCAATTGGTTATTCAGGATGGTTGTTCTATAATTCAGGTATAATTCCAGTTTGGTTCTAGAACAAGATGAGTGTAGCTTCCACCTATCCCGTTGCCATCTTAGATCTTAGCCCATTATTCATTTGCTTTAGAAATTAATAGGATCTCCTTCTATTCCTTACAAATGCCATCTTTCCTTGAAAAATTAGTCCAAACTGTATGATATTAAAAGTTTCATACACAGAATCATCTGATCATTAATTTAAAACAATGGTGAGTAATTTGAAAAATGATTTGATAAGATTACAGCAAAAACAAAATATTTCTAATTCTACTCTATTACAAATAGTAATTATAGGATTCTGCCCACATCCCAATACTACTGGATTTTCTTTTTCTTTTGCCCTAATTTATTCCTACTTATAAAACTACCTCATTCTTTCTTTCTTTTCTTTTCTTTCTTTTTTTTTTTTTTTTTAGAACATCTTAAATTTTTAATCCTTTCTTTACAGGTTACCTAACACCACTTTTGATTAAGAAAACTGTAGAAAGTTAGTAACTGCCACAAGCAAACGCCAGGTGGTGGCCCGTGTCAATTTTCCACTGAGTCCTACTTTGCGGGGTGTCTGAATGCACTGCTCGGGGTCTCTGCTCACATTTGCTGGAATCAATCGTGGCAGATTCTAGTCCACAGGTCACTTTTCCCCACATTTCTTTGTAAACTCTTCCACATTCCTACAGAATTTCTTACGGTCCTTAGAGTATTCTTCAGCTCGGTCAGCCCGAAGCGGGTGCTCAGGCTGGGGGTCATTCACCGGTGCTATGAGAGACTGGATTACTTGGTCGGTTTTCGTTGCTGGCTTCCAGTTTTCAGCACTGATTACTGGCAGACAGACTTGTCCCTTTTCATCGATGTTGGGGTGATAGATCTTGGTTTTAAATGTGATCTTAGGTGGTTTGAATGGGTATTCTGCTGGAAAGTTGATTTCGATTCTGAAGGCTCCCTTGTCATATAGAGGGTTGTCAGGAACAATAAGCCCTTGCCAAGTCAATAAATTAGCTTCATCAACCTGGATGTTACGGAAGTTTTTCATTCCACATTTGCGGATTTCTTCAAGCTCCTTCATCAGCCTCCTGCTGGCCACCATCTTGGATCTGGTGTTGCTGCCTTCCCCTAAAACTACCTCATTCTTTTAAAAAGCTGCACCATTTCCCACAGTATGAAGTCTCATAACCTTTCACATGTTGAGGGACATTTAAGTTACCTACTTTTATTTGTTTTTTTATATTATAAACAATACAATAAACAGTAAGGAGGGGATGGAATGAGGTGGAAGATGAAGTGATAACAGAAACCTGGAGAGGGTTAGGGTTAGAGAAAAAAGTACAACATAATTGTAAAAATAATTCCTAATATATCAGTTATAACAAATGTAGACAATAAAAAATTTCCTAAAAAGAAAAGAACTTTCTGAGCACTTACTATGTGCTAGGTTTTCAGGGTACAGAAATAAACAAGACAAAGTCTTCTAGAGCTACATTCTTGGGGGAATGTAAGAATACTGATAACTATTTCTGGGAATAAAGAACATGATTCAGTGAAAAAAGGAGAAATATCTTACACCTCTCCCTCTCTATTTTTTAAAATATAATTTTCAATTGATTTCAGAGAGGACAGTAGAGGGAGAGAGATGTAGAAACATCAATGATGAAAGAGAATCATTGGTTGGCTACCTCCTGCACATCTCCTACTGGGTATTGAGCCTGCAACCTGAGCATGTACCCTGACCAGCAATCGAATCATGACCTCCTGATTCATGGGTTGATGCTTAACCACTGAGCCATATCAGCTTGGCCCTCCTTCTTTAAAAGTAAGTTAATCTTCATTAGTACCTCCATAAGCAAATAATGTTAAACAATATTCCATAGCTAAAAAAATGTATAAATAGTGTAACTTATATAAATTAATTCTTTCAATAAATACTTACTATAAAGTCTTATTTTGTGCGAAGAAATGTAGAGTAGGAGCTATTAAAATGAATTTAACAATTTCTGACAATACTATATGTTGAATTAAATAACAATTTCATTAACCATTCATTTAAATAGTTACTAAGTGCCTACTATGCTGTAGGCTCAGTTCTAACTGTGGGGGAGGGTGGGATGGGAAATTGATGAACAAAGCATATTAAAATCCTTAACCTCCTGGTGCTTATATCTGGCAGGATTTAATACTCTGGTCAAGTAGTACAGTGTTCAAAAATGTCTTAAATCAGAGTAGCATGTTTCATTCCTACTCTGAAAATTTTATTCAAAAAATTACCTTCTGAAAATTATTAGATTTTAAAATTTATTCTTAGAAGTGTAAAAGTTTATTAATTAAAAAAGAAAAAGAAAAACAACAACAACAAAAAAGGAGATTGAAAAACCTGATGAACAATAATAGCGGTTCATTGTAGTAGAGTTGGCGATATGGGAGAGGAGTGGACTGACTGTTCTTGGGGGAAAGGGAGGGAGGAAGAGACTGAACATAAACTGTGCACCTATGGATGAGGATGGGGGGTGGGGAGGGGGTGGAGGGTGGGGTGGGAACCTGGTAGAAGGGGGAAGAAAGGAGGAACCTTTGTAATAATATGAACAATAAAGATTGATATAAAAATAAAAAATAAATAAATAAATAAAATTACCTTCTGTGTTCTGGGTCCTCATGACTGTGCTCAGGACTGTGATAGAGAAGGATGGTACCACTATTTTAAGTTGGAATCAAGTCAATAGTGTTGAACAGATTGCACTTGCAGTTCCACAGCTTTCCCTGTGGCATTCAGAGTCAGGCTGGCAAGGCCACTGAAAACTCTGCCTGAGAAAGATATAAATCTCTGAAGGGACTTAAATGATAGCTCAGAACTTGTAACTTTTAAGACTCCCTAGTTTAAGGATAATAAATACTTTGATACCCATAATACAGCACTCTAATTTTAGAACCTCTACAATAAATAATAATAGCATTTAAAAACTTACTATGGCCTAATCCTGAGTAAGCACTTCACATAGATTGTAACTTCATCTGCAGAACACTGTGCAAAGCAGGCACTATCATTTACTCCTTTATAGATTAGGAATCAGTCACATAACCTGCCCACATAACCATAAATTAGTAGCAAAACCCAGATTTAAACCTCGAAACTATGACTCCAAAAATGGGCTCTTAATCAACATCACTCAAGTTCCTTACAACAAGACAGAAGAAAAGAGAGTCTTAATACTGCATTGCTGCTATAGATGAAAACATTTAGGTAATGTTATAACCCCTATTCTAACTATAGTCTAGTAGACAATTTCCACTGTAATTTACTATAATTAAGTCCTTCATGATCTTATACTAGTATTTCCTTGCATCCTCTCCCCAGAAATAACACTATATTTGGCATTAGAATTCCTTAGTTAAAAATCTGAACATACCACTAACTTGCTTATCATGATGTGTTCTGTTTAACTTTGATGATAGTCACTCTAATTTCTCCCAATTCTAACCAACCTATTTTCCAAACTGGTGTCACTTATAAACATAGCAAATGTACTCCCTACTTTCTCTCTCTTTTTAAAAATATATTTTTATTGATTTCTAAGAAGAAAGCAGAGTGAGAGAGAAACATCAACAATGAAAGAGAATCATTGATTGGCTGCCTTCTGCGCACACACACACACACACACACACACACACACACACCACTGGGGACAGAGCCACAACCCTGCAACCCGGGCATGTGCCTGAGCAGGAATCAAACAGTGAACTCCTGGTTCACTGGTGGGCGCGCGGCGCCTGAGCCACACTGGCCTACTTTCTCAATTCCCAAGTCAGTGGTGAAAGCAGGCCTCCCAAGGCCCTCATGTAGAGTGACCTTGAGACTGCTCTCACTCCTAACAGCTCTGGAGTAGTGGGCATTATAATGACGACTGAAGGTGACTAACAAAGGCGCCAATGCGCAGCCCGGACATCTGCCTAAAGGCACCCATGTGTGCTCCTAAGGTGGATGTGTGTCACTGTGTGCATTTGACTTCAAATGTAAAAATAAATAAATAAATAAAAAATGGTGGTGTGGAAATCACAAGTTACAAGACATCACGGACTGTGTGACAAAGGAGTCAAAAGCAATGTGTGTTTTCTGTGAGGGACAGCCACTGTGTACTTTCTGTTAGGGACAGCCGGGGACAGAGGGACGGAGAGCCCCAGGGTCACTGCAGAAGGCTCCCTTGTCAGGCCAAGGCCAGGCTCCCTGCGTTGCCCGGTGCCCGTGTGGATGCCACTCCCGCCCCGTGCTGCCCAGAGTGGCCATTGTGATGGACTTAACCTTGCCCACGCAGCGATTCCCAGACCCTGGCATAGCTGTCCCACAGCGCTGTCTGCTGTTGCTGGGGCTGGCCAGGTTGGTCTGATGAGCTGCTGGTTTGGTGGCTTTTGCTCTGGCTTTGGCCATTCCTTGGGGCAAGTGGGTGGCAATGTGGCTTTTTTCACTGGGCACATCTCTAACTTCACAAAAGATGTGCCCATGAAGGGACCCAAAAGCAGGAAGTGTCACCTGATTCTACGAGAATGGAGGTTGGAGCCACTAAGACACCTTAAGGTCAGAGAATGAAAGACTTAAATTCTTTGTAGTGACCGAGAACAGAAGTAGGAAAGATCAGAGCTTCAAATGAAGCAGCAAACTGCTGCTTACTGACATCAGCTCCAACAGGAAGACAGTGGGAGATGGCGCTAAAGAGCAAGTTGCCGGAGCTGCACCTGGCCACTCAGGCAGGGACTCTGTTGGCCTTGTCCCTAGTCCATCACCCCCGCATCACCTTCACTGGGTTACACAGCAGCCATCAGAGTCAGCCTGCAACGGAGATGACATGAATTTGGTTGACCACATTTCATCACAACAGGAAATAAACAGACTGTTGAATAAAGTTCTAAGACTTGAGGCTGAAGTGAGCCTTTGGAGACGTTTTGCTCAGGCTTCCACATTAAAAATGGCTTTGATCACAATGAAATCCACAAATTGCAAAATACCATCAAGAAACTTAGAAGTGAAACAAGGAAATGGGTGGCCATCAACTTGTAAGGCAGTATTGCAGAGTGCTTATCAATAGAAACTGGCAGAAGTAACTCATAGGCATGAAGATAAAATAAATGAATATGAAGAAAGAAGTAAAGAAAAGGAAAAGCTGTTATAGCAGGGTGGCTTGGGAATTCAGAGTCACTGATGGCTCTAACATTTGTGATATGCAAAAAAAAAAAAAATCTTTTAAGTTCTACAAACTGAAAAAGAAGAGTTTATCAAGATCAAAGAACTTGAGGTTACAATGAAAATGTCAATAAAAAAAGTATCTTCTGGCCTTGGCCTGGTGGCTCAGTTGGTTGGAGTATCATCCGGTGCATCAAAAGGTTGTGGGTTCGATTCTCAATCAGGCACATTCCTCGGTTGCTGGTTCTGTCCCCAATCAGGGCACATATGGAAGGCAAACAGTCGATGTTTCTCTCTCACATCAATGTTTCTCCTTTTCCCTCTTTCTAAAATCAATAAAAAATGTCCTCAGGTGAGGATTTAAAAAAAAATTATTTTCTGCAAAAAATAAGAGAGATGTTTCTAGAAGAGAACAAGACCAGATAAATAAGAAAAGGAAAGAAACAATTGAAGAAAGTGAATTGAAATCTTATATTAAGAAGCAAAGTGATATGTGACAGAAAGTCAGCAGTGCTGTCTGATGCTGAAAATGAAATGAGATCAGGAGCTTAAACAGGTGACAATCTCATTGACAACAGCCTGACACTTAAAGGAGGAGTTCAAGTTTTAGAAAACTAAAATTCATGATAAGTCCAGAAAAGGAAAATCTTCAACTACCACTTTTAAAACTGAATGAGTGTGAAGGAATTTAAAAGTACAGCTACAAGAGACATGAATTCAGATTCATTAAGATGTGACTTGAAGGCCAAAGATAAAAAACTCAGCCAGGTAATAGCTGATTTAGGAGAGCTGGCCCAACAGAAACAAGAAGCTGCAAAGCACACAGTTTTCATGAAAGATCAGCTGTCAAAACACCAAAACGAAGGTGAGAGAGCATTATCAGAAAAGTAAATCAAGCTCTGGATGATGAAAAAAAAAAAAAAAAGCTCATCAACTTGAAGGTGATA